TGTTTTGTATTTACTGTGAAGTTGGATAAAATATTTAATAGTGCACTTTAATCTACAAATTATGTGAAGATTATAGAATCATTTCTAAACATTAAAAAATAAATCACACATGATGTAAATTACAAGAGAATAAAGTAAAATTTATCCTTATATGTTTTTATAAAAATTTTCAATTGAAATAATGTTCTTGACCTCATGCATCGACGTCAATATTTTTACAAATATATCTTTCCCAAAAATTATTCAGTTTACTTAAGAACACCAAACACTATGTCACCAACTAATCATCGATTGCCATAACTCTCTACTATTCATCCAATTATTAAAATTAATAGTTGCCACATGCGATATGTGTAAATGAAATAAATAAAAATAAAATAAAATATTTATTATATATCATGTATCACTAAAGTGGTAACACTCCGTTTAGATGGAGATGTTTGGTAAGAAAATAAAAGAAATGGTGAGAATGTAAGCCTATCATTTGTTTGGATGGTTAAGTAATGTGAGAAATAGTGAAAAATATAGAGAAAATGACTCTCACTATACTTGAGTTTTGTTTCTCAAAAAAAAATGGTGAGATTTGGTGAGAAAAAAAATGGGTTTAATGAAACTTTTTAAAATACCAAAATTATCTTTATGAAAAAATATAACTTATTGATATGAAAGGTTATTTTAGTAAACTGAAGTACAACTCTTTCCTTTCTTGTATCTTATTTACTATATCCAAACAAGATAGGTGAGAAACTACATTTTCTTCTTTTTTATTCATCCTAACATGATACTAAGAAATTATAATAATTTCTTTTCTTTTGTCATCTCCCCTCACGACTTAAATAGAGTGTAAGAGTCTTCTCCAATAGATCAAATGTCACGTGACATAAGGAGAAGCAAGCACGGAGGAAACGTGACATAAGGAAAAGCAACTGGATTCAATTGTAAGTGTCAACCTAATCGGGATGTACTTTTAAGTAAGGGTGCAACTTGAGCGGGCTTAACCCGAGCAATCTGAACCCAGCCTGAATTTTTTTAGGGCTTGGACAATATATTTTCAAATTTGGTACAAACTTGGGCAAAACTTCAGAAACCCGAATTAAATTTGGACGGATTTGGGCAAAAACATCAAACAATCCGAGTAACCCGAAACCCGAATTATACATATATAAATATATAAAAATATAAAATATATACATATAAATTATTAGCCATTACATAATATTAAAGTAATTTATATTATTAAATCATATTGAATATATATTATATATACAAATAACATAAAATTTACTCCTTTATTTTTCACTCATAAATTGTAAAGACTATTATAGCGGCATTTCTCTTACATTATATGAATTATTTGTTTTGATTGTATTAATGATTTTCTATATATAAAAAAATGTAAACAGAGTCAAATTTTAATAATTTAATAATGTAGATGCTAAAAAAAAAAATACGATTCGGGCAACTCGAGCAATTCAGGTTTAACTCGGGTCGGGCTTGGGCAGAAAATCTCGGGTTACAATTCGGGCTTGGACGGGCTTGGGCCGATCTCAGCACAACTTGGCCTGAGTTTGGACAACCTCCCAACTCGACTGAACCTGCTCGAGTTGCACCGCTACTTTTAAGCTATGAGAACATCTCCAACGTTTACTCTTTTTTTTTTTTCCATCAAATTTGAGTAAAAATTTCATCTGATATCAAGCGTTTCAACGAAATTTTTTTATTTTTCATTAAATCACCGGTCGACCGGGAGGATATCCGACCTGTCGATCGGTTAGTGTAAATTTACAAAAAGTCTACGTAAGGAAAATGTTGTCTGGTCGTCTAGTATATGGTCTCAACGGTTATTTACAGTAATTTAGTGAAAGGCTCTAACCAATCTTAATTTGATAAAAAATTTTAAAAATCCATACTAATTTGATATTAAAGTTGAAGTGTTGTACATTTTTTATTAATTTTAAATTTAATGAAACAAAAAAAGAAGCGCCGGAGACACGCTGATGATGAAGAGCCCAGATTCTCGGCCGCCCTACCCGGCAGCCGTTTCCAGCAGCCCCCAAAACGACGTCGTTTTGGGGGTAAATTTTCAAAAAAAAAAAAAACGCAGAGGAAGAGAGGGAGGAAGGAGAGGAAGAGGGGGGAAGGAGGAGGGAGGAGGAAGAGGAGGAAGGGAAGGGCCGGACTGGAGAGGGCCATAACCAGTGGGGGAGGAGGAGGAGGAGGAGGCGGAGGCGGGGCCGGAGGCAGAGGCGACGGCGGTGCAGCTGCTGCGACGAGCGGGATCGGGCGACGATCGAACGGCTGCGACGGCCGGCGGCGAGGCGACGAGCTGCGATGGCAAGCTCGCAGCCTCCTCCCTCCTCCTTCCTCCCTCTTCTCCCTCTCCCCTCCCCTCTGGTTTCTGTTCGAAGAGAGAGAAAGCAAGAACGAAGAAGATGAAAAGAAAAAGAAAAAGAAAAAAAAAAAAACACCCAAAACAACGTCGTTTTGGGGGGCTGCCGGGTAGGGCGGCCAAGGATCCGAATTCGGTGATGGAGTCTCTACCAAGCCTTTCATTTGTAATGATTTCTTCATTACAAATGAATAAAATTACTTTTTTAACTGGCAAAAAATAAAAAAATAAAATGAAAAACAAAAAACAATAACGTAGACACAAAATTCGGCCTTCAGTTACCCATATAATATTAATTTTTTAGTGATAAAATAAAATGAACACTAAAGGGTTGTTTGGAGTGTCCTAAATAAGTGTACTTTTTGTCTTTTTGGACTGAAAAATTGAGGAAAAAAATATGAATGTTTGAGTTAACTTTTTGACTTTTTATGAAAAAATGTGTATTAAAAAATTGTATAAATTAATGTGTAGGAGAAAATTAAGATTGAAAGTTATGCAGCCGTAATTTTTAACTTTTGATAAATAGTAATAACTTTTTAACTTTTTTTCAACTTGCCAAACTTGATCTAAATTCAACCTTCCATTACTCGGATAGATGAATTATTTCAGACTACTAATTTCACATTATTGAATGATTACTAATGACGTGGTGAATGTAAATAATTATTGATGTAGTAGTTTAATTTTTATTTTATTTTTTTACACTGTTAACTCATTAATCCTAGTGTTTGCCTGTCGATGGCGGACTGTGGTAAATCTTCATTATGCGCCATTGTTCCTAAAGAGGTAAAGCTTGATCAAGAGGTTTTGTCCTGTCTGTAGTTCCCACAGACGGCGCCAATTGTACGGGAAAGAAATAAACCTTCTCGTATAATCTTATTGATCAAGTCTTCGCTCCTCCGTACGTCGTCGCTTTATCACCTGAAAACACAAGCGTGAGCTAGCCGGCGGGTGTGTGCCGGAAACCTCTCCGATGCCTAAGTCAGTAAGCTTGACAAATAGACAAAAGCTCTGTGTATTCAGAAAACAAAGTTGTGTTACCTCCCCGAAGGTGATGTTTGTGAGCTTTTATAGGTTTTGCGTGGCACAATCCTAGTAGGACTTCTACTCCTCCATGCAGAGTCCTCCTAGGATTCATACTCCTGAAAAATAATGTTTATCCTTCAACACCCCCTCACTGCTTAAACCAAGTGAGATGGTTTTTACCATGGCCGAACTCCAATATGACCGAAGTAATCATGATCACGCCGAGCCACAGAGTAGACCGAACTATCGTTAGTTCGGTTCTACCTTCAGTGTTTTTACCCCAGTTCCTCAATTGTCGACAGTGTTAAGTCTAAACTGATCTAACTTCTAGCAAGGCTTTTAGACCGAACTAACCATACTGTGCCTTAACCGATATAAGTTCAACGCATCTTTAAACCGGTCTAACTACAAAGGGTCCTTCAACCGGACAAACATCAAGAGCAACTCGGACCGGTCTACCTTCTGGGCTTGAGATCGGGCTAACTTTAAGCCTCTTCAAGACCGGAGTAACTTTATGGCCTCTTTACTCAGCCCTTCGTACTGAGGCCCATAAAGGCCTAGCTCGGCCCAATTCGCATATAAATTACCCTCTCAGTCGTATTCTTAAATCGTTTCATTTTATGAAACTAAACAAACGTGACCTTAGTGTACAGATATTTGCCACCACCATCGATGTATCGCCTTTATGAAAATTACTACGTAATTAAGATTTTGTTATTGTTTTAAACTTAGAATTAGCTAAAAACCTTGGAAATATAATTCGACGTGTAACTCTTACGGACCTATTTTATTTCTTGCATTTTAATATTTTCTTATCTCTCTCTTAGTTTTTTTTTTTTTTTTACTCTCATTTTTCTAATATTGTGATATTGTAAGCTGTAATTATGAGTGCTTCTTTATTTAATAAAAAATTATAAGCAAGTAAAATTTCTGAAAATTTGGTGAATCATGTTTGAAATTGTTGAGTGTGAGTCTGTTAGTTATTTACTGATTAGGTATTTTGTTTGGCTTCGGATTTTAAACTTCAGTATTTTTGTTTTTCATTCTTTTACTCAATATGTTGTTCCTTCAAGGAGAACAAAGATCTGATTTTTGTTGAATTTTTCTTTATAAAATCTGTCTGAAGTTTGATTATATATCTAGGGTTGAAGCTAAAAATAGGAATTAAGACCCATCTTTGTTGAAAGAATATATTTTGACCTAAGTTTAATGTTTAATGAAAGCTCTCACCTGATTAAATTAGTATATTGATTTTTTTTTTTTTTATTTGGTGTGTAATTCAACACAATTTAATGTATTTATAAAAAAATAAAAAAAAAATTAAAGAAAAAATAATTTATGATGTAGATTTAAATTTAATATGGTGCATATAACATAAAAATATATACATTTGACATTTTAAATATATTTTTTGTATATTTCTTTTGGATACTGACATTTCTGATAATACAAAGGCATGATTCCAAAGCAAGAGAAGGAAGACAAATAAAAGTTGAAATTTTGTAAGGACAGAATTCCTTTATTTCATGTCCCAAAAATATATGAGAGCAAAAAAATGTAATTCAACTTTGAAAGTTTTGTTCAATGAACCAACCCAACAAACATGTATATATATATATATATTTTGAACAAGCCAACAAACATCTATATGAGCTTGAAAAAACACATGCTATATAAATACAAAAACACCATACCCCCCCTTTATTCCTCCATAAAAATCTTCGAAAGCTCACCTTAAAATTCAACCTGATATATATATACTACTTTATACACCAGTCCTCTAAGTACCAAAACAAGGATTTTAATTTAAGCCTCATAGAATAGAATATATTGATGTCTTTGATCATGATAATAATCACTTTCTTAAAATTATTTCACCGATCCGCCTGCGAAAATGGCCAAATGGGTATTGTTCCAAATCCCAATTAGGCCATTGGGTTGAGTTGAATTCAGTTCAATTCAATTGAAATGTTGTTGTTCCAACCATGGCCAAAATGCAGTTTGATCATCAATGCCACAGAACATGTTGGTAAAGCTTTCTTCTTTGACAATGTGATCAATCTTCTCTGGTCTTGAAGAAGAGTTTTGGAAGAGTTGGGCCACACCACTTGGCCTCATAGATGGTGGAAAGAGGGGTCTGCTAGTTGGATGAGTGGAGAGAGGAGGGCTATCAAATTCAATTGCTGGTGTTCTTGACATATCTAGCTTCACATCAGAGCTGTTTTCACTTCTGTTACTGCAGGAACCTTCTGTCTCTTTGTTGAGGTTGATTGACTCAGTTGGCTCTCTACTTCTTAGTGACAATATCTACATTCATATTCAAATTGATGAATTCAACATCAATTATATATAAGCACATAGATTCTCACTGTAGTCAATTGAAAAACAAAGTGGACAAAAATGATTGTTGTAATTATTGCCATGATCCATCTAAAATGATCATGATGAACTAGCCAAAGACATCATAACGGTAGTCATCAGTTATTCAAAGTAATCATTGTTTTTCTCAATCAGAATCATGAAAACAGTCTCTTTGCATACAGGAATAGATATCTGACCTTTCTCAAATCCGTAGTAGCGGGAGACTCATGCACTGGGCTGCACTTTTATATATCTTAATCCGCGAGAAGATAAAAAAACAAGAAATACATAGAGAAAGTTGCTTCATTGAGAAATGAGAACTATCATATGTCCAAGAAGGTTTTTAGATGAAGTTTGCTACTTAATCCTTTTTATCTCGATGTAATTTCCTTTCATGAATTAATAAATATTTTCTTTGCCGATAAAATAAAAAGAAAAGAATTAATAGAATTCCCAAGAATACATACACAATTATATACACACACATATAAAAAAAATGTAGGAATCAAATATTCCATAGACATACGAGGATATGCAACCATGATTTAGAATTAGAAACATAACAAACTAAGAAAAAGATATACATACCTCAGCTTGAAGTTTGTGGTTCTGAGCTTGGAGGGCATCATTATCAGCTTTGATGGCTTCAAACTGTCTCTTAAGGACTTCATAGTCTTTCTCTAATTGCTTGGTCTTCCACCTAGCCCTTCTGTTCTGAAACCATATAGCTATTTGTCTTGGTTGAAGCCCAAGAGCCCTAGCCAACTGCATTTTCCTCTCAGGCTCAAGCTTGTTACCCAACTCAAAGTTCTTCTCAAGTGTCTTCACTTGTTCCATGTTTAGCCTCCTCTTCTTCTCTCCAGCTTGTGACCCATCATCAGAAAAATCATCATCCCCATTAGTTTCTTGATCACACATGTCAATACCCGAGAATGTCATGGATCTCTTCCCTAGAAGTGAACCAACACCTGCACCACCACCATAATTAAACATTTTTGAAATCCCATTTTGAGAGAGAGAGAGAGAGAGAGAGAGAGAGAGAGTACCATGGAAGTCTTGAGATGTGCATAGTGGTAGAATTGGGCTAAGAGAGGTAGGAGGTTGATGGTCATCTTCATGAGAATTTTGTAGCATGAAATTGGCTGGGAAGAAGGCCATTTCAATGCAGTTCATGACCTAGATAGACTTGTACACCATCTAAACAACAGTGGTGCTGATGATCTGTCTGTCATGAGAGAGAAAGAGAGAGAGAGAGAGAGAGAGAGAGAGAGAGAGAGAGAATAGGTTTTAGTGTGAAAGAGGGAACGAGGAGGCTTAATATATCACATAAGTTTCTGTCACATACATTAAGGGGAGATGCATTTGTTGATGTGTGATGGATAGCTTATATACCTTATCAGCCCTAAGTATTTATTAGATCAGCAACGATTCAGGGTATTAATTTTAATATTTTAATAGAGTATTAATAATATGATAAGGAAAAAAAAAAAACAAATCAAAATCAAAATATCACATCACACTAAATAAGACCCACTACCAATTAATTAAAGTTAGTTTTAGAGTTCAAAAATTAAAGTTCCAAAACATCTTTCTTATTAAATATATATATTTCTAAGATAGAGAAAGAGAAAAGAGGTCACTTTCTCTAGGTGGGATTTTTATTTAGGCAAATTATTTGGAATATCCTTAAATTATGGACCATTTATATTTTATTCTTTTAATGTTTTAAACTTAACAAGTGCTCCCCTTAAACTATTTAAATGTGAATATTAAATCCTTTTGTTAGTCATTTGTTAGATATTTGAATGAAAATTTGTCAAGTGATGTACACGTGATTATATTAAATTTTATGACCAAATTACTCTATTTTTATCTTTGGTAAAAAGTTAATATAATTATCATGTACACAACACTTGACAATTTTTTATCAAAATATTTAACAAATGACTAATAAAAAGACTTAGGCCTCGTTTGGCAAGTAATTTTTTTAGCCAAAAGTCAAAAAGTCACTAAAAAAATCAACAAGCCAATAACTCATACCAAAAAGTCAAAGATTCTCTTTTCTCTCTACTTTTTACACATCTTTTCGTAAAAAGTTAAAAATTCATCTCAAACATACTAGTTTTTTTTACATCACATTTTAGTCAAAAAATCAAAAAGTTACTAAAAAAGTCTGTTCCCAAACGAGACCTTAATGTTCAAATTTAAATAGTTTGAGGGGGATAATTATTAGGTTTAAAACATTATAAGAGTAAAGTGTAAATGACTGATAATTTGAGGGGATTTAATATAATTTGTCCTTTTATTTAACTTCCAATTTTTTTATTATTTCAAATATATAATTCATAGTTTCTTTGTGTGGCACATAAAATGTTCAATAATTTCAGCTTACTTCCATAATTTTAATATTATTCTTAGCTTGAGTGACAAAGAGTGGTATATTTTCTAAATAGACAGTTGGCCCTTTGATATTAGTTTTCATTAAGATATATAGCAGGGTTGATTCCTTCTCTAAAGTAGAGAGAAAATGGCTTCATATTATAAGCTTTCAAGTAGGAATGGGTGACATCATGCAAAAAGAAATGCACACTATGATTTATAAACCTACAATTTATAGCCTTTATGATGGGTGGGCGTTTTAAAGGGTACGGTATCTTTTATTTTAAATTTTTGAGTAAATTATACTGAGATTTGTTATAATAATATTTTATTTTTGATTTTTTAAAAATTATATTTTCATTCTTGTGATTAATAGTTTCATTTTACAAACCTCTTACTTAAATAAAAGACGATAAAAAGTAAAACAAAGGAAAGGATGAAAAAAAAAAAAAAAGTAAAGCAAAGCAAGAAAAGATAAAAAGCATGAGTTTAATATCTTCATTCTGTTTAAATAATTACAATGATAGGAGGGTTAGTATTATTTTCCAAACGTCAAAAAATAATATGTATTAAACCCAAACTTCAAGAGTGTTAGTGTAATTTACCCTAAACTTTTCGACACTAAATTATAGTAGTGATCTTTATAATTTGTTTCTGGTATTAATTTAATTGATTCAATTTTAATCTTTAAATTGGGGAATTGCGTCAATTAATGCTCATTGATTTTTGTGATTGAAATTGGCTACGTATAAGTCACATGTCCTAATTTTTTAAAAACAAAATTATAAATTTTCATATTTTATACATAAATCAATCTAAGGCCAAGTTTGGTATACACAAAATAATCTATCTTTTTATTCTTTTTATTTTTTTTATATCACATCACCTCTCTACTTTTTTGCACATCTTTTCATAAAAAGATAAAAAATATACTTATTTAGGTCATCCCAAACGATCCGAGTTAACTCACAAAATCCTTGTATACATATGTATATATACTGACACTAGAAAAGATGAGAAAGCCCATGTAATATAAGGGTCTTAATGGTAGGAGGATGAGGGAAATAATTAGTTTAAATGGTAAGAGATGGAGAAGGTAGAGGTGTAACCGCAATCGGCTCACGTGCTCCCCCTCTTAGAAGAGATGTATGTAAAATAAGCTTATAGCTTTCATATTCTTATTATCCCACAAGCTTGTTGAAAATGCGATCAAATAATCTTTTATCGAAACCTATTTTATCCACCATATGACCTACATGAATATTTTATCATTTGCCTACATAGGCTAAATGTCCAAATAGTTAACAATTATCAAAACTTGAAACCACCACCTAATTTTTAAGAAACAAAAATCATAATATGATGCCATAAAAGAAACTAATCAATGATGACCAGAGGACTCGATTTGGGGACTTAGATATGAAATGAGAATGTTTTACGCACTCACCTTGCTTGACAAAAGCTCGACCTCTACTTATCATCTTGATAATTTAAAATTCAAAATCAATAAAACTTGTGCATAATAAGTGGCAAGAAATTAAAAGAAAAAAAAATTAAAAAGCCAGAGTAGGAGATATGCATAAAAAGGAAACCATGAGTAAAAATTAGAAGGGGATAGACAAGAATAGGGAACGTGCAAAGAGGGAAATGTAACAATTCATCCCATGTGACCACTTGAGTGGTGAAGAGACCGCTCAAGCGGAGAAAAGAGACTTCTAGTAGTTTGCATTGCAGGTTAGAGGACCGCTCGAGCGATCATCTGGTCGTTCGAGCGAACATGAGGGGGTTCCCAAAATCTCGTTTTGTAGATTGAAATACTGAGAGTTTAAGTTCACTGCTCAAGCAGTGAAAAGACTGCTCGAGCGGTCTGCGTGATATCAGTCACTTAAAAGTGACTTTTTAAATCATTTTCTTCACTTTTTCTTTCTCTATTCTCTCCTCTCTCTAGCTTCAAAAAACCTAACCCTCTCACTTTAGAAATCTCTGATTTTACTAAAATTCACACCTCTCCCTTACAAAAATTGAAGTTTATGTGAAGGTAGTGTATTTCTACTGATTAATCGTTGGTTTTCGAAGGATTCTTCTTGACATAGCTTCCTTACTTCCATCTTTGAGGTAGAATTACCTTTAACTTTGTATCTTTTTTATTTGAAGATCTTTATGTGGTATTGTTATGACATTGATGAAGTGATGAATGTTTGAACATACGCATGGAAGTTTTCTTTCAAAAATAGAATTTCTTTACCATTTTCTTAAGATTCCTTTTATTATTCATAGATTATGGAAGTTTTACAAGATAAATGGCATTAAATATGATGTAGGGGCAAAAGCCCTAAATTTTATGGAACCCTAATTTTTGAAATTTACAGATAATGTGTTTATACGAAATTGGTCTTCAATTCTTTAAAATTGGTGATTGGATTATGTTATTTGAGAGGTATTTGAATTAAGAATTGTGAAATTTAGATGTTCTTGAGATTTTATTTATGATTTTGGATCTGTCATTTTATATTTATCTCAATGGCTTAAATGGTGAAAAATTACTTTAATCTTCATAAATGTATAAACATTTGAAAGTCTTGGAAAGAAAGTTTTGAGGGGGGTGGTAAATTGTATGTGAGTCCGGGTAGGAGTTGTGTATTGTGTTGATACCCTCGCGGGGAGTTAAGATACCCAATCGTCCTGTCTTGAGCTTATCGCCGGATGAATGTAAGAAAGTGTTTTTGGGTATCCACTGGTCCTATTTTATCGTAGTCGGTAAAAGTAGAAAAACGGATGATTTTGGGTGTCCATTTCTTGCCCTATCAATAGTCGGCAAATGTGGGAATATTTTGACTATAAACCTATGTATATGTATGTATTGGGACTCTCCTTAGGGGTTTCATAGCGTATTTACCCCCCCCCCCCCGTGTTGAGTTGTGGGTTTTGAGATTAGGAATGTTATAAATTTATGCATCTTTTCTTCAATAAATTTCATGAATTGAATTAAACATGTTTGGTTGTGATAATGCCATGTGAATTTTCAAATAATTAGATACTTTATTAAAAGTATTTCTACTGGACATCTAACTCATTACTATCTAACAAATTTTCAAGAATTGGTAACGTGCAACCACCTCAATGAGAAAGAGGTGAACTCTTTTGTTTTTGTTAGTGTAAGATACCGATAACGCAGTGGGTAAAAAGATTCAAATCATACCTTATGTGATAGAATTTGAAACGAAGAACCTTGTGGGTAAATCATGTGTTTCACAACCACGAACTAAGAACACCCAGCAATTGAGTGATACCACAGTATGAGTATCACCCACTCTAATCACAGTGCAAAGGCTTGATCGTTATTCTAATGGGAGAGAGTTAGAGAGAGAGCATGGAAAAAATTAATTCGTTATTTGATTCATCTTATATCCCATATATTGTATTTGATATATATAAGCTGACCATCTAACTATCTATCCATATCTCTTGATAAGATATGATAGATATAGATAGTGATAGTGGGTTATCCAAATAGGATAATCATGAAAATTCAAATTCAAATTACATGGGTAATTTGAATGGGTCATGGGTCATGCCACATGGGCACCCAAATCCGAGTCCAATACCCGGCCTAATTTCCAGTATCTCTCACTCGTACATGAGTTGGCATGGCATTGCCACATCGCTATCTCAATCTTCCCAAATATTGAACAATCTCATACTAGCCAATGAACCGAACAACCACTTAGAACACCTGCATGTGAGAGCTCTATACTAGAAACTCAAAATGAGCCAGCATAGAGACATCAACCCAAAAAGAATGTACGCAGAACTATCTAGCTACATCAGTCAAAAACATCTCTAATCCCTCAAAGAGCATGTTTGACCCTCCTAGGTCCCGTATTATATTTACACTCAATCAGCATCCTATACAGAGCGATGTGAGTTGTTGACAATGAATATAGAGTAGAGAT